CCCTCTCCCGCTCCCCCTGCTTGTGTTCCCTCTCTCGCTGTCTCTCTCTGTCAAATAAATAAATAAAATCTTTAAAAAAAAATAGTTTTCTTCTCCTGTTTAAATGGGGGGAGGGAGACAAGGAAAACTTCTCCTCATAACAATTCACTGGGTGCTTGTTTGCACGTGGTTCTGTGAAGTGAACACCCAACAGTGCAATAGGCAAAACGCTTGGCCTCTAGAATGTCTGAGTCCACCCCCATCCCAAGATATAGCTGATAAGTTGGCACTTGGGGAAAAAACAAACTAAACCAAATTTTTACTTATTGAACATGCATTTTTATTGTGTAAGCTTGTAATTTCTCTTTCTGGAGACTATTTTAGTGGAAGGAATAATGTCACTAATACTAAAACCATTGTTGTTGTTGTTGTTTTAACCCCTTTGATCTTTTAAACTTATCCTCTTGGTTACCTCACTCTGCTTTCTTTTTGTCTGGTTACACCACCTTGTCTTTTGTTACTTCCTTCCCATTCTTTATCCAGGGTCTGAAACCCAATAGGCTCCTGGATATTAGTGGGAGAAAACTGGCTGGTTCTAGGCTTGCCTGACTTTCTGCTGAGCACCCTGCCTCTTCCTCCTCGTCTCTTCTCTTCCGCTCGCTTACTCTCTTTTAGGACTGTTATCAGCAAAACCCCATCACAATGAGTGGGTGAAGTTATTAACATTTCACAGGGTTCGGGGGTGGAGTCCGCAGCCCTGAAGGTATGATCACAAGATGCCCGGGCAGATCATGTTCCAGGCAGGAGTTTTATGTTCTTTGGTTTTAAAGCAATATGTTATCCTCTGAATATGAACACCAGCCGATTGGAGAATAGAGACAATACTAAAGATATGTCTAATTCCCTTATTTTCTATGTATCAACCCAATTACTTTCTCTAGTGAGAATGAAACTTGGAATGAAAACTAACATGTAATAAATAATACTGGATAAACACGAAGATGTCATTGTCTTTGATCATCTTCACTGATGACAGGGAAATGACTGAACGTCATTAATGACTGTCCACAAATGAAGCAGTTGATTTTTTTCAGAGACAGATTTCTTAACTACAAACACAAAGGTGTGAGGGCATGGGAGGGTTAAGGTTTGAGTTTCTATGAAATCACTGTAATCTGAACCTGGTCCCCAAATGACTATTATGCCAAACGTTTCTTGGTGAAATACAACTCATTGTGAATTCTGATTACATTTCCTATTCCCTTCCAAAGAAACAGAAAGGAAATTAAGTTATATTTGATTACATTACAAAAAAGCCAACTGGTGTCTGGGCAGTCATTACCATGTCAGAAGCAAATGGCCATATCGTTTGGGGGCAGGCTCTGGGCTACTGGGCTCCGGCACATGGACTTGACCTCTTGTTCTTTATGAAAACAACTTGCAAGCATCAGGAGAGAGTTACAAGAACACAAATGTACCTATGTGTTCTCATTATGAACAAAGTCAAATAACGTTTGTTTATGTAAAATAAGTGAAAATTACATCTCTTGAAACATGAGTCCAATTCGTTATTTGCTCACAGCAATATTACCAATTTTAGCCTATCAGGTTTCTTAAACTATCATCAATGCCGTCAAGTCCATACGGTGGAGCAAAGTATACCAAAGATCTATTTCAGTAGTTATCAGCCACTTTTGGTTTGTAGACCACTTGTTAGTGTCATAGAACAATAAAAATGTGCATTTCTCAAAGGCAGCGGCTGTATCAATCCCGTGAGGATTTTGTTAAAATGAAGTTTTGAGTAAGTAAGACAGAGATGAGGCCCACTGCTCCGTAGATCTCGGAGGTGCCCGCGCCGGGGTGAACACATTCGGATAGCGGGGTAATACACAGCATGTGGCCTCCTATCTTTATCGGCCCCAGACTGTCAGCAGAATTAATAGGCAGATGTGAGCTATTTCAATTAAACACAAACAACTCAACCCCTGACTTTTATTTCATATTCTAAGGACATCATGAGTTCATCCTGGAATGCAAAGTATGGCTGAGGTTATGATTTCAGGTTTGAAAATGGTTCAGGAAGAGTATCTGCCGAACGCCTGCAGGAACGCCGCGGGACACCAGTCTTTCCAATCCTCCTTTAAAAAGCACTTCATGTTATAATTGCACCAGTTAGAAAACACTCGGGAGAGTGCAGCCTCAGGCTTCGGGCCTCTCCGGAATGATTCTTCTTTGCAGCCAGGGTTGAGGAGCCCCTGTTGGAGATGACAGGGCTGGGCACGCACAGGCCTGATGTGCTCACAGCTCCCGTGGAGTGCCCCGTGCCGCTTAGGGCGCGAACGTATACCACAAGGCAAATAATCAAGTGAAGAGGAAAAGAGCGACTTCCGGAGAGAGAAAGAAGAGGAACCATGACCAGAAGGGCTGAGGGGCAGGCTAAGGGCTTGACTGCGGTGCAAAAAGAGCCGGGGGACTGAGTGGAGGCCTCCCCGGTGCGGGTGCGGGCGGCAGGGAGGAGACAGGTGTCATCCTCTTTGTTACTTGTATTGATACAGAAGCATCTTGAAGGGAAATGAATGGAGGGCGGATAGGGAATGTATGTGTGTAATGACCACTCCTCTCAAAACTAATGCTTTCATTTTCGGATCTGCTTAAAGGAAACGGGAGAGGGACTATTAAACACCCTGAATCTGGGACAACAGTAAAACTTTAAAAGGGCTCGCTGTGGCCCCTACCTGCAAACCCAGCCGGGGGGCTCCTTCAGCTGGTACAATACAGTGTCTGTGTGGTTGGTGGCCCAGTCTATGTTTATGATACTCTTTGCCAAATCTTAATTCTTGTATCCAAGCAGCACGAAGAATGTGAGAAGATGTGGCGTGATAGCGCGCACTGCCAACATTCAGCACCTCCCACGGGTCCGTCTGTGCTCCGGGCAAAGGGACGGCTGCACAAACATTACACAGCCCGCCGATAAAATTCAGCGAGCACTGGGGGCCGAGGGTCTATCTAGATGCGATAACCATCATAATAGAAAGTTAACCCTTGGCTTTTTCACAGGGAACACATACTTATAAGGTTTCAGACACCATTGTTTTTTGTGAATCAGAAACCATAATGCAAGAGACACCTGGTGAACAGTAAATATCGAGACGGTAAGAAACCAAATCTGAACACCTTTATCAGAGAGGCACCACCCAGTTTGGGTGAACAAAAGATTCATGGTTTTCTCTTTCTCAAAGAGTTCACTTCTGTGTGTGTTCTGTTTGTGATCTTCTTTCAGCTGATAGTGGCTTCTGGTTACAAACTCTTATCCTTGTATCTTCTGCCTCACAGCTGTTTAAAGTTCCCATTGGCCACTGCCATTAAGCAGCGCCTGGACCCTGTGCCCTTACACAGCCCCACTTGAGAGCCTTTGGCCTCTCTGACTGCTCCGTCCCTTTAGGAAAACGTTGGTGCAACAAAGGAGGAGTGATACTCTGATGGCTTTAGGGAGCCCCTAAAAAGGCAGCAGACCTGTCCCAGGCCACAAAGGGGCCCTTGTGGGCTTGTTTATCTATAGGCCCATGAAAACCTAGGAAGTCACTTTGTTTGACTGGACTAAAAAGCTTAAAATGGTCTCAAGCACAGATTTGCTTTCATTAAAAAAAAAAAATATCAAAGGAGGAAAGTATCATCTTCAATCTCACATTCCTCCTTCTCTTGTATCACCTCAGTAAAAGGCATTAAGCAAACTATATGTAATTATTAACTGATGGATTCCTTTTTTTTCTTTCTTTCTTTCTTTTTTTTTTTTTGGAGAGGGAGAGGGGGAGGGGCAGAGGGAGAAGGAGAGAGAGAATCTCAAGCAGACTCCCCTCTGAGGGAAGTGAGCTCACAACCCTGAGATCATGACCTGAGCCGAAATCAAGAGTTGGATGCTCAACTGACTGAGCCACCCAGGTGCCCGCATTATTAACCGATGGATTCTTTATAATACTCTTCAGCTAGAGCCTGCAATATTTATTTGGCTTTTTTTTAATGCATTTATCTCCCTCAGCATTCTAGACCAGAAACCAGTATTTTGTTTGACAAGTGTTAAGTAAGATAAAAGGGGACATTACACATGCATATATTGGAAATCGTGCAATAGATTGTAAACACTGATACATTCTGATGAGATGATTTACTAACCAACTGCTCATGGCTTAGTCTTGCCAAATAATCACCGTGAATAATTGCCTACACCCCAAGCTCTAAAACACCCTACTTGTAAGAAAGTTCTTTTTGTGAGAAATAACTAATTTTTATTTACTCAGAGATTCTAAATCAATGAAGAGTGGAAAGTCCTGACAGAAAACCTGTGTGTTTGGAATAAGGAACAGTAACACCACCGCCGTGTTATGTTTGTGGCTGTGTCTGTACGTGAAGCTGAGGTGTGTGTGAGTCTCTCTGTGGGACTGTTTGTATGCCTGTATGTGTGTGTGTGGCGATGGGGAAGTTGGGCAGTAAGGCTTCAAGACATACCATTAGATCTCAGTTTACGGATATGAGGACCCCTGATGTACATACAGGACTTGAAAAATTAAATCTGTATTGGACTCAGCAAACATTTTACTACAAAGCTGCTCAGATCACCTGAAAACAGAATAAACTGAAGATGCCAAGCTGTCTAGATTGTGACACTCCTTTTTCTAGATAAAAGGAGAAAGCATTCTCTCTGATTTGAACTCCGGAACTAAAATATTACAGGGGAAGGCAGGACAAGATCCTGGACGTACTGTCCCTTGATGCCAGCGTATCCAAGAGGCTTTTCACGGCGGGGGCGTGACTGAGTATCTGACCTGAAACTCCAAACTCCAGCACTGGTCCCTCCCACACGTATTGTTTAATGAGGATTCGAAGGATGGTTGCTCTAATGAAAAGTCTCATTCACAACTTCTTTAGGTATGGTCCCCAACCAAGGAATTTATGAAAATGGTCATTTGGACATTTCAGTGCTCCTTCCCATATTGATCCTGAGAACACTGGCAATTGATACTTACAGGGACTGAAGGCTTCGCAAATTCTGCAGAGCTTCCGTCGGTACCTGTCTTAGGTGATTATTCTGCAGCATACTGCACATGAAAACAAATGAAGAAAAACATTAAAGAAGGTTCACAATAATTAATAATAATTGGCCGTAGCAGTGCCAGGCACTGTTCTAGGCGTCAGGGAAACAGCAGAGCATCAGACCAAGTCTTGGCCCTTGGGGAGCTTACATTCCTGTGTGGAGTAAAAGATAATTAAAAATTAATGGATGTGTCCATAACATCAGACAAGTGATAGGTACTATGAACAAAAAACAAAACACGGTTTTGGGATGGATGGCTATGAGGGGTGAGATTTTTTTTCTTTTTAAGATTTTATTTATTTATTTGACAGAGAGAGAGAGAAAGCGAGAGAGGGAACACAAGCAGGGGGAGTGGGAGAGGGAGAAGCAGGCTTCCCGCTGAGCAGGGAGCCTGATGCGGGGCTCGATCCCGGGACCCTGGGATCATGACCTGAGCCGAAGGCAGACGCTTAAAGACTGAGCCACCCAGGCGCCCCAAGGGGTGAGATTTTTGTCTTAAAGGTGGTCAGGGAAGATCTTTCTTAGGAGGTGATACTTGAGTGGAAACTAGGATGGAGTCATGGAGCAAATTCTGTGAACATCTGGGAAGAATTTCTGAGAAGAGGGAGGAGTAAGTGCAAAGGCCCAGAGGCGGGAGCTTGTTTGACTCATTCAAGGAGCAGCAAAGGAGGAGTGAGTGAAAGCAAGAGGCTGGGAGAAACTGAGCCATCTCATGGAGGACTTGTAGGCCACAATGAGTCTTTAAGTGTGATGAGAAACTCTTGTTGAAGGGTTTATGTAGGGAAATGATATGCTCTAATTTATGTTTTTTTCCTTTTTAAAAATTTGATTATAGTTGACATACACTGTAACATTAGTTTCAGGTGTACAACTTACTGATGTATCAGTTTCTACATCATGCTATGTTCATCACATGTGCAGCAACCATCTGTCTCCATACATCTCTATTACAATACCATTGACTGTACTCCTTATGCTCTGCTTTTTATTCCTGTGACTTATTCATCCCATAACTGGAAGCCTGTACCTCCTACTTCCTTTCACTGATTTTGCTCACCATCTCCACCCTCCATCCCCCAGCAACCATCAGTTTGTCCTCTGTATTTATAGGCCTGATTCTGCTTTTTGTTTGTGTATTCATTTTTTCAGATTCCACTTATGAGTGGAATCATGTGGTATTTGTCTTTCTCAGTCTGATTTATTTCACTTAGCATAATACTCTCTAAGTCCATCCATGTGGTCTCAAATGGCATGATCTCATCTTTTTCGTGGCTGCATAATATTCTCTCTCTCTCTCACACGCACATTTCCTTATCCATTCATCTATTGATGGACACAGGTTGCTTTCATATCTTGGCTATCATAAATAACATTGCAATAAAGACAGGGGTGCATATATCTTTTCAAATTAGTGTTTTTGTTTTCCTTGGGTAAATACCCAATAGTGGAATTACTGGAACATATGGTATTTCTATTTTTAATTTTTTGAGGAAGCTCCCTACTGTCTCCCCCAGAGGCTATTCTGATTGACATTCCCACCAACAGCGTTCGAGGATTCCCCTTTCTCCACATCCTCGCTAACACTTGTTTTATTTATGCTTTTAAAGGATCACTCTGATGACTATATAAATTAGACAAATGGAAATATGGATACAGTAGGAAGCTATTAAAAATCTTCTCTCTTCTTGTGTGTGTGGTCATATTTTAATAGAAACTAAATTCTTTTTGTGAAGTTTTGTGCTTTTGTTCGCCTGGATTCAACAGTTTCAGAATGTGAGGACTATAGAACAGAAACACCTGGTAACAATGAAATAAAAATATATCATTGCTAGTAGGGAAATAGCAAGGAAAAAAAATTCCCATTAGATTCCTTGTATTTTGCTATCTTATTCATAAATGTTTGTAACACCATAATTTCGCAGCCATTCCCTCTGTATTTCATAGTCTCTGTAAGCCAGAGGCAGAAGACTATTTTAGGAAAGCAGGCATTTTACAGAAATATTTCTGCTGAGGAGGCTACTACTTACATTTGGATCCCTGAAACAGTGTGCCTGGTTCTCTTCTCTCCACAATGGAAGTTTCTTTTCATAAGATGCCTAGTTGGGATCCAACCCCAAGTATGTCTAACTCTGAATTTGATGAACGTTCCACTGCACCTTGCAGCATTCTCTTGAGGCATATTTGCTGAATGTCCAGAGTCTCAGGTTGTATGGTGTATGGTCTGATTAAGGTATGGGTAAGATAATGGGTTCTTGAATCTGTCCACCTCTTCCCTGCCACTAGCAGAGTGGCCTCAGGGAAATCATCCAGTTTCTCCACATCTCAGTGACCAATGATAATACCCACCCGAGGGCTTCCTGCGATGATCTGAGGAGTGAATGTACACAGAACAATCCCTGCTGTACGGTAAGCATTCCATAAAGGTCGGCCCTTTCTGGATGAATTGGCAGACTCCTTGTCAAAACTAACAATGTAATGAGATCATCCTGGATATGACATTTTAATTAACCAGAAAAAAAAATGGGCAGGAAAAAAAATCTGTGCCAGTGGTTCTCAGACTTCGGGGTTCATCAGACTCCACTGGAAGACTTGTTAAAACCCAGCATGCTGGGCCCCACCCTCAAAGTTTCTGGTCCAGTACGTCTAGGTAAGAGCCAGAGAATGTGCATTTCTAACCAACTTGCAGGTGATACTGGTGCTGAAGGGCAAGGTGCTACACACTGAGAACCACCCTATGCTAGACTAAGTGATTTCTGGTAGAGTATTTACACCTAAACTTGAGGCTATATTGACCTTGGAGATAAGGCCTAAGTTTTGAGTCTTAGGGAGCAAACCATTTAATCTCTCTGACCTTTGGTCACTTATCTGTGTAATGGGAATAGAATAAGATCATCTGATTGATAAGGTGTTTGAGGATTAAAATATGAAGGTATTTATAACACTCATATATACAAATGTGAATTTGTATACAAATAAGACATGAAAAATACTTAAAGGTCATAAAATTTATACTTTTCTCATCATGTCTGAGATTCTGTTTAATAAAGAATAGAATTATGTCACTTGTATTCCAATAGTTCACTGAAATAATTTCATAATTAAACTTGAATTCAACTAACATTTTATAAATCAAGAATGTCAAATGTATTGGTTCCTTATGAACAAAGTCAAGTTTTAGGAAGATCTCATGCTTTACATACCTGTTAGGGAATTGGGAAAGTTGTAGCTTGAGTTCCGTATTTTGCATAATTTACCTGAATATTAACATTTTACATTTCTAGGTTATTTTACATTTTTCCGAGTAGTTTTAATATATTGTATAATTTTAACTCCACAGAATGTTTTCTAAGTCACTCATTAATTGAGTGATAAGTTTAAATGATGGTAAGACACAGATAATGGACTTAATTGATGTCTAAACTTTGTAGGTAATATATTACTCTATAAAGTATTTATTGAATAGTCTTTCTATGCTTTGCTAACCAAACAGTGAAACTACTAAAATGTGGACTTCCTAAAAAATTGGAAAATTGGAGTAGAGGATAAGAGATATTCAGATGGTTTTCCTTCATTAAGTAGTTGCAAACTCTCTCCGAAGTTTTATATATCTGGTTTCAGAAAACAGAACTTAAGTGAGCTTTGCTAATGATAATTTTTAAACTACCCCTGAACTACCACTCAGCAATTTAATTTTTGAACTACTTCTACCAGTAAAATACCAAAAATACAATTTAAAAAAATCACTTAAGTCCTGAGCTCTTCCTAAAATAACTTCTGTTTAATTACTTTTAAATAACAAAACAAGAGCAAGTTATCTCCATTATATCCTTATAAGTCTCCAGTGAGTTAATTAGAAAATTCTGTTTTTGTTTAAGATATCCTAGTGGGAGACAAAACAATTAAAGGGTTTACAGCACTATGGAGTGCAATTAGAACAGAAAGCATTCACAACATGGTTGCTGATTTCTTTTGCAAATATTCCTTTATTCAGTGCATTGAATATAAGCAGAAAGCACCGGAAAACTGAATATGCGTTTAGGCACTTTTAGCTTCTTTTTTTTATCATTCGCATACGGGTGACAAAAGAAAATAAAGCACTTTCTCTAGAGACAAAGGATGGTTGCATATTTTCTTAATTTCTTTCTCTGATTTTAAAATATTAAAAATTTAAAAATGTTTTTATTTTTAAAATTTATTTTAAAATGTATTAAAAATCTAAATATATTTAAATTATTAAAAATTTAAAATATTCACTATTTCCTACAGCATCCCATACTTCTTAATAACACAATGTTTGGTTATCTCTTTTGCCAACAGGACTAACTGAGAACAGGTACAGTGCAGCAGAGGGAGTGAAATCATATGTTATAAGGGGACTTCATCACATCCATAGCTTGATCCTTTGGTATCTCTTCTGCCTAATTGTTCTGTGTTTAGATAGCAAGTAACTGCTGAGACTCTGTTGTAAGTCTACGTGGGAATGAGAGAATTTTGGCTACTTGTACTTTTCCCCGGTTGGTTTTACCCATCACCTCCACATGGCTTTGGTTCTTGTGCTGGGGGGCAGGACGAGAAGCGGTTCCTTGACTGAATGGCTTACACGAGAAAATGAACCTTGGTTGAAGAGAGCCTGGTTCAGAATTCCATTGGACTGGGTATTTTGCAATGCAGAACCAATAACTATTTTTTTATGAGGCCAATATACAGGGGTAATCTTAAATATTAGTGATCTTCCAGAGTTCACAGTAGCAAGATTTCAGATATAACAGAGTCCTAGTCAAGGAGGGCTATTGCTATCTTTATTTTCTCAATGGACTGGATTACTATTCTCTCTCTCTTTTTTTCATCTTCTCTCTGCTGGTCAGAGACCTGGATGAATATAACTTGGATATTAGCTTTCTTACCATGCTAATACTGTAATCCTTTCTTTCTTCCAATGACTTTTGGACTTTATAAAACATGTGGAAGAGTTGTCATGAGCATAGAAACAGGCTTGTCTTCTTCTGCATTTTACCTCTAGTTTGGTCTTAACCCTATTGGACCCAATTCTCCCTTTAATACCAAATATTTTATAATGCCTCATCTCTTATATTTAGATAAAATTCATTAAAATATAGCCTATTTACATACATCATTTTGAAGAAAAAAATCAATATAATGTACTGCCCTAACTATATTATGAAGGACAAATAAAAGAGATTTATAATAAAGTGATACATGTATCATTACACACATGATGTTCAGATAGGAGACATATTTATGAACGAGTCAGACGTTTGCCTCTCCTTTTGATGAATAAGGTTGGGCATGAGAGAAACACCATGATCAGAAGCTATTTGGGACAAGAACAGGGAAATGAGATTAGAGGTCTAGATGGATACTGAGTAGCACATCACAGGACAGTTTACTTCATGCCAATCATCTGGAAAACCAAAGACATCCCCACAAGTTTCCAAAACACTCTGTGGCAGGCAGACTGACCATGGTTGAGAACCATTGTTCTCCTACCAAAATACTTTCGAAATATTTGACGATTGAATTTGCTCATTGAATATTAGTGTTTAACTCAGCAAAGTAAAAGGAAGAGTGAATTCAATTCCTGGCAGGGGTCTTGTTCCTCTAGATCCCTCTTCACATGGACAGCGATCTGCAAAGTCTGAAACTGCCATTCCTGCGCTTACAACTTTTCCCTGGTTCTTCATCACGCCTAGAACATGATCATGCCCATGCTTATTTGACATGACACACAGGATCTCTGGGACCAGAACCCTTTCTATCTCTTACAGGAAGCCAATCTGAACCATCAGACCAGACTAAATGCTTCCCAACCTCTGGAGTTCCACAGTGCCCTGCATATATCTCTAGACACACTTTTCAGATGAATCAGAGATCTGTTTGTTTGTGTCTGCCCTACTACCCTGATCCCACAACCTATCACCACATTATAAACCCTTCAAGGGCATGGACCATACTTACTGATCTTCGTATTTTTAGTAATAATCTGTTCAATGCCACACACACACACTTTCTCTCTCTCTCTCTCTAGCTCAGTATACCCAAAATACATTTTGTTAAGTGAATTAAAATAATTGCTTGTAGTATAACTTATTTAACAAGTATCCAAAATGCTTTGTGGTATATATCTCAACATTGAAAAAACATCATTTTTTTTTTGTCTTACCTAAACTCAATTTATTTATGATGCATTTTGAATGGTTTGCTGAGTTCATGGAGATATAGGTGCATTAAAGAGTTGGTGCTACAGCTCAGAATTTTACCACATAATGAATTAACATTAGGATTTGGTAATAGGACAACTTAAAAATATTTCTGCCTAATAGAAAAAACAAGTTAACAGTAGGGGGGACCAAACTCAACCACCTAAGCAGACCAAGCAATGGTTCTGCTGTTAAATTTGATTTTTAACAAAATGTTGAATTTAAATAAAAGTGCTTTTCTAATAGCCTTTCTATCCCTCAGGTCAATGAAATACATTTTCCATTAAGGAGAAATATATCAAATGCCTTCTTAGAGTTCATAACTTTTATCTCAAAGAAAGGAAGTAAATTCAGGATATTCTCTGGGATAAAACTTTCGTGGTATGACTTTCAACTTAGGCTACCTATTTTCTCTACCTAGGTGTTTTTTTTTCTTACACAGAATAAAGTGAAAGAAATTAAGCAATGAGTACTAGAAGGAGGTATTCAATAATAATGAGTTTTCTGATGAACAAACTGGGAAGTTGGGTATTAAATAATAAGAAAACCACTTTTACAAGTCTCAATGAATGAACAATTCTCGATTAAATACTCAGTGTATCTGTTATGGACTCGGCTTTTCTCTATTCATAAGTGGAATATAAATTTGGTCGTGTTTTAGCTAATCCTTATTCGGTGCATTATAAGGAAACAAGCTTGACAAATTGTTTGAGGCTGTGGTCTCATTATGTCAGCATCATAATGATTTATTCACTTGGTGATCAAAATGATTCAAGAAACTGTCCCCAACTTCATTACACAAAAGGAAAGGGAAGTGGCTTCTTAAAAGTCCAATTTGATAAGTTGCTTCTTTAGAGGCAATTTTAGAAATTAAATTAGAACAGGAGGGATGGACTTTTTTTTCACACACAAATCCAGCCAGGTATAATGCGGTCCTATGGTACCAATGAGGTAGACTTGAATTTAAGTGAATTAGCCTATGGTTCTAAATAGCTTATTAGAGGGATTCAGTCTTTACAAGTTAATTACCATCTACTTGACACTAAAATCAGAAATATAACAAATAAAAAAGAAATATAACAAATAAGACCCTTTTTACTTACAGAACTTTAAGACTGTAAAGGCCAGCGAATGCTCCCTTGGGAATGTATGTCAAAGAATTTCCGGCAAGACGTCTGTGGGTTTCAAGGGAGAGGAGAGACAGTAAGCCTAGTTTTCTTCATGTGGAATTCATTTAGTTGTTAAGAAATGCAACAGAATTTTGTTCAAACCACAAATGTCAAAAACAACTGTAGAGAACCTTGTCTTGTTATATTTTGTGAAAAGCTTCTGTAAATTTCTAATCAAAAGGCTGGCAAAAGAAGTGCCTACAAAGAAATATAATAAGTTATCTATTTTTACACTAAATCATTTAATAGCTTAGACTATATATGTAGCTCTCCTTTCTAAAAAATTTTATATAAAAGTTAGTGCCATATAATAATCTTCAAAAATTGTAATGTCAAACTGTGATTGTCACATGATTTTTATACTTTTTCTGTAGAAGTCTAAATAAATCAGATAATCAAACATAAGAATATTTCTGTTGCAATTATCCCACAAAATACCCAACTTTCTTGCTAAATCTGGCAAATAAGAATGCAGACTATCACAGTTTTTTCTTTTTCTTTTTTTTAATTAACATATAATGTATTATTTGTTTCAGAGGTACAGGTCTGTGATTCAACAGTCTTACACAATTCACAGCGCTCACCATAGCACATACCCTCCCCAATGTCTATCACCCGGCCACCCCATCCCTCCCAACCCCCTCCACTCCAGCAACCCTCAGTTTGTTTCCTGAGATTAAGAGTCTCTTACAGTTTGTCTCCCTCTCTGGTTTCATCTTGTTTCATTTTTTTCCTTTCTTTCCTTATGATCCTCTGCCCTGTTTCTCAAATTCCACATATCAGTGAGATCATATGATAATTGTCTTATTTCGCTTAGCATAATACCCTTTAGTTCCACCCACATCGTTGCAAATGTCAAGATTTCATTTTTTTGATGGCTGCATAATAGTCCATTGTATATATATATATATATATACCACATCTTCTTTATCCATTCATCTGTTGATGGACATCTAGGCTCCTTCCGTAGTTTGGCTATTGTGGACATTGCTGCTATAAACATTGCGGTGCATGTGCTCTTTCGGATCACTACATTCACAGTCAGTTTTTTCTAAACTCTATCGGGAAAGGGTATTTTAATCAACGGTTTAATTGGAATTGTATTTCAAAATGGTATTATGCTTAAAAAATTGAAAACAATAAAGAGTGTTCAGTATGAAAGACATGAATAAGGTTTATTTAGTGGAAAGTTTTGACATCATTAACTGGTAAAATTTAAAGAGTGTATAATATTTTTCTAAGTGGGAAAGAGTCAAGGTGAGAACATACGCAAAAAGATGGACAAGGTGTGGTACCGGAAGCACCTGGTTCAGTACTTTTCTGGCAATCACATCAAAGCCATAACCTCAGGTGTTAGATGGTTCCACAAAATGGAAAATCCAAGAACAACACAGTGACTCAGAAGAGCACAGAACCTTTTAAGGAGCTGATCACATTGTAGAAGGGTGCGTGCGTAAAACCGGCAATCAAGACACCCGCATGTTTTCTTGACGGAGGTGGAGGTTGGAGTAAAAGGGTGGAGGGGCCCACTTGGACTAGTGCTTATTCCTGAAGGGCCGAACAGCTTCAAATTTGTATTTTGATATTATCTACAAATGAGAGATAATTCAGTTCCACTGAGCTCCACTGACGGGACTGAAAAAAGCCATTCAGCATACAACTTCAAATATGTGTCCCAGGGCTAGTCTGCACCACCAACAAGCTGGGAGTATTGAAATAAATATTATCTCATAAGCAGCACCTCTGAATAGCATGTTTGGTATGTGTATTAGAAAGCATAATTTGCTCGATCCAAATTAAATTGACTTAAAATGAAAATGTATCACAATTTTTGTAATCTTGCTTTTATTTTTTTTAATTTTAAAATATATAACAAGAGACTTGAATCTGAGAAGAAGGTCTGCCTATTTCGGGTCTGCAGCACCAACTTGCTGTGAGCTGTTAAGTTTATATTTCTGAGCTTCATTTTCTCACTAATTACATGAAACAGTAAGATAAGGTAGCTAATCAGGTCCCTTCTAGCTCCTAAACTCTAGGACTTCTCTCTCTCGTCTTATGTTTATTTGTGTTTGTGCCTATTTTCCTTCTCTTAACAAATATAATTTTGTTAAGATTCAGATAGCTCTTATATGGTACTCCTCCCGCCTTCCTCATGGTGCCTAAAGACGTCTTTCTCAAACTGTAAATAAATCTAGTGGCTTGGAATAGAATTAAGAAAAAGAGAGTAGAAAAACAACAGATTGCATTTTCTACTCTAGTAGAAAATTATCTTTTTATGAAAGCTTTGTTTTGAAACATGTTTGTGAAACTGGATTGAGGGGAAGAAATGGATTTCTTCCTGTATATGGTCAGAAAAGTTTGAAGGCCACTAGCCTAGAGCATAGTACGTATGCCAATAACATGTAATTCAGCTAATATTTAACCAGGGTGGTTTCAGAGGTGTTTTGTTTATTTCCTATAAAGTTGTCTTACTAGAAAACCCTCTTTAGACTATCACAACTGGCTTTCCATCCAGTCTCCCACACTGAATCCCTCCCTACGCCCACTTATTCTGTGTCTGCCACCATCTTTGTAAAGCCAACTCTGATTATATCACTCACCTGTTCAAAACCCTTCACCAGTTCGCATGCCAAATGAAAAGAAATGCGAAGTCCTCAGCTTCCTCTCCATAATTCCCTGACCTGTGTTCTATGATGTAGCTCCACGAAACTGTGAGACTGGCTTTTCTTAACTGTGCCATCCACCATCTCCCTTCTGGCCCTTTGCTCTATCTAAAATGTTCTTCCTCCTCTCCCTTCCTGTCTCTCAAAGCAATTTCATTTCTTAGTTTTCCAAATGGATGGGCCGGCTCTCTATTTTGAACCACTTTGGTAGCACTTTGTGCCTCTCTATGGGTTTGCTGGCTACCTTGTGTGACAGTGCATACCTGTCTTGTCATACACATTCCCCTGAAAGTGGGAATTCTTTCTGTATCCATTATAGGGCCTTGCATAGTGTCCGAAACAGAATAGGTTGCCCCAGTAGTGTCCAACTAATCATTTGAGTAGAGACGACTAAATGTCCCCAGCATCCATTGCCCCCTCCTTCTAGAATAGTACCCGCTACCCAGAGTTTTAGCCCAGTATGTGGTCACCCAGCTAGAGACTACACTTCCCAGCCTTCCTTGCATCTAAACATGGTAATGCAACCAAGTTTGAGTGTGAGTGAAAGTGAGGTGTGAAAACTCCGTGTCACCTCCTTAGAAGGAATCTGCTTACCCCCAGTGTTGTCTATTACAGGAAATTCCTGCAGAAGTGGTACTGGCAAGACAGCACTAATGATTCTGGTGTGAACACTCCACCCAAGGCAAAACAAGGGCAGCGAAAGAGCCAGAAGGAACCCGAGCCCCTGGATGACTTCAGGGAGCAGAGCGGTCCCCTCGTCCTGGCGTCCTCTTCTGATGAGTAACAAAATCAGTGTGATCCCTTGTTGCCCTCTGCAAACAAGTCCGTGATTGAAGGATTATGAAGCTGGCAAGGCTAGTAAACCTCCGCTGTTAGAGACCTTACTAGATGCCGGGCTTGAGGAGCCATGTTTGCAAAACCGTTCCAAACTGCAGCATCCACTCTCCTCTCCTTATCTCCCTTTTGTCCTTGTATCATGAGTTTGCACTTGACACCCCTGAACGCTCACAGCCATTGCATGTTGCTGTTTTGAGCAGTCACGCTAAAGTCGGAAGACGTTTACTTTATCATTCCTTCAAGCAATCTTTGCAGATCCGACAAGTATTGACAGAGGGCCTGCCCTGTGCGGGCGCTGCGGTCCGTGCAGAGATGCAGCAGTGATCCCCAGATGGGTAAAGCCGCTGACCGCACGGAGCTTCCTTTCTAATGTGGAGAGATGGTCATTAACGGGAACACAAAGGAACACCACCACACAAAACAGACTCTGAAAAAAACATCCAAGGCGAGGGGATGAGAGCAATGTGGAGGACAGTGGGCGATTCTTTCAGATCCGAGGTGCAGGGAAGCCTGTCTGCTGAGTGGGCATTTCAGCAGAGGCCTGAGACATGCAGGTATGTATGTGAAGGGGAAGTCGTGCAAGAGCCCCACGCTGGGAGTGGGCCTGGGGGGGGTCCCGAAGCTGTGAGGTGGCCAACAGGGCTGGGGTGGAATGACACAGGGAGCGAGTGCCGGCACGGGGAGTGTGGAAAGGCGTCCAGGGCCACTTCACTCAGGGCTCCGGAGGCCAGGGGAAGGACTCTGGCCAGGAGAGGGGATGAGATCAGACTTGTGTTTTAAAGTGGTCCTTCTGGGGGCGCCTGGGTGGCTCAGTTGGTTAAGCGTCTGCCCTCGGCTCAGGTCATGATCCCAGGGTCCTAGGATCGAGTCCTGCCTCGGGCTTCCTGCTCAGTGTGAAGTCTGCTTCTCCCTCTGCTTGCCGATCCCCCTGCTTGTGCTCTCTCTCTCTCTGACAAATAAATAAATAAAATTAAAAAAAAAATAAAGTGGTCCTTCTCATGGGAGCTCTTAAAGGGGAGAGTGGAGTGGAGTGGAAGCACAGGGGTGACCAGAGCAGTTCAGGTGGGATATGCTGCTGCAGCCCCCCAGGGCAAAGGTGGCCAGAGGTGGTGGGATCTGGTGCAGAAGAAAGAAAAATCCAACCAGGCAACCCACTAGGGGCAGGGCGACATGTAGGCAGCCAAAAAAGAGCAACATTTTACATTTATGGTTATATTATCTATAACTCACGGTCACTTGCCTAGTTACCCAAAGTACTACATGTAACACTGAAGTAATGAGCTGTGTGTGACTAAGAGCTACTTAGTGAATTAAGACAGACTCAGGCTTGGTAGATGATCACATATGACTTAACTAATCAGACTGGGCTGACTAAGAACGGTTATTTTCGCCAAAAAGTCCCTAACTATCCCTGTTCACGGTCCTAACTTCAACAGTACATTTCGAAGTTCTAGGGCACAGTTTTCTTTCTTTCTTTCCTTCTTTTTTTTTTTTTATTATGTTAAT